GGATGCAGTTGTTCGAATTTGCTGCCTCAGCACTGTGAGTGGCTGCTCAGACTGTGGGGGTGCCTTAGAGCGAGAGGGATCACTCCAGGGGAGACCCCGTCTTCTCTAGTCACCCTGCTCTGCTCCAGCCCAGCCCTGCCATCACTGCAACCACTTGTTTCCCCAGCAGGGAAGGGGTGCCCCAGTACCTGAACAGGGCCTTCTCTGCTCCCAGGATCTGGACCGTGGAGGCCGGGTACTTGGCCAGGTTGGTTAGACTGCCGGCATGGGAGATCAGACGAGCTCCCACCTGAAGGGAGCAAACAACACTGTCAGCCTCAGTGATATGTGGCACAGGGAGCTCTTGTTTGAAAACGTATTTGATTTTCATGTAAACTGTGCATGTGATTTCAGGACCATCAGCACCCGATATGGTTCATCACACAGGTTCAGTGGATTGACAGATTTTGGTATAACATCACTGGTCCCATGTGAATTGTGGAGAAAAAAAAAAAAAAAAAAAAAAAAAAAACAACACAGGTGCAGGATCTACTCACCACTTCCCCGATCAAAGCTGCCAGGTTCGGAGCCACTTGGCTCATCTTCGAGCGGAGGTACTCCTGCAGCTCGAGACGATAAGCAGCCAGAGACACAACGCGATTAGAGAACCTCTCTATGTTGATCAGGTCGATGGGAGAAATGTCCATACCTGGGAAAAATAATCAGGAAAAGGTGTTGTCCAGAGGAACGCTACTACTCACGGTTTCAACCAGTTAAAACATTACATGGGCGGCCTTAGAGTGATGTGAACTTGTTTCTCCCGACAGGATCCACAGTGAGGATTGGTGCCTTCACTACAGGTTTATGAGAGCGCTACTCTGCCCCCCTGTGTTAGGCACCAAGGACAACTGTTGGTCCAGGGTGGGCAAAAAAGGGGCATGACATGAATCTAAGTCTCGTTTGCTTTTAAAATTTGGCGTCTTTGAAAAGTATGTCAAAATGTAGAAATGGGAAAAAAAATAATTTAGCTGACCCATAGAAGAACGTGATGCCTCCAGGATAGCTTGAGCCTTGGCATTGTCCATCACCACCTCCTCCAGCTTCTCCAGACTATCCTCCATCAACTCCTTCCTGTTTCCGATGAGCTGAGCCAGGCGGCAGTATGTCGAGTTGTCCGACACAATCTTGACCAGCTCTGGGAAGTGGTAGCCGTACCACTCACTGAAGACACAGATAAGACTGTTGAAATGACTGTGCAATGTCCAAACAAGCTACAAACAGTCTTTGAGACAAATCCCTGGTGCACTGGTATCTGCACATGAAAGAACACATGTCTCACCCAACAGCACCACCCCACCAGACAACAGCTGGCAGGGCATGTGTGTCAGAGGAGTCAATGTCCCTCCTGTTTCTATACAGCCAGCACTGTAGGGTGCACTGTCTGTGGTAAGCATTGGGAGGATGCGCCATCAAGCAAAAACTAATACATTAAAACTTGTAAAAAAAAAGAAAAACCAATTGGCTTTAGTGGTGTGATGAAGGAAGCCCTACCGGACACGCATGGAGAAGGTGTTGATGTCTTTGTCCAGCTGATCCAACAGAGCAATGGACTGGATGATCATGTTGTCGACCCTGTTGACATTGAACTTGACCTTGGCTCTGGAGTAGCTGTGGCCAAGACCCAGCTGTGCCTTTGAGGCAGCCTGGGCAGTCAGACCCTTCACCAGGGAGTGGAAGTGCAGACGTACACCTGCCAGGATGGAGGAACAAATGAAAAGATGCGTCTGCTTTGCGTGGAAAGGTGACACAGTGGCATGTGACCAGTGGCTATTCAGATTTTCAGTATGAACCTTCATGGGTTTCAGGATCAAACAATCACATCACAACAAACCACATTCATGTATTTAAGTTCTAGAATTATGTTTCAGACCTGCAAACTCAAGTCCCACCAAAAGTAACTCTCTCAGAAGAGTAGCCTCACCTCTTAATATTTCAGCCACCACACCACTAGTCTGGATGGAAATGCTAAATTCTTCTTGTAAAGCTGCTCCTATTTTGGCATCAGACACCCCCAACACTCCTTTCTTTTTCTTAGAGCGGGGCAAGTTCGTCTCAAGAAACAACTTAAGGTCAGCGTGAACCACACCTGAAAATCAGAGAAGTACTTTAGTCGCATTTTAGATTCTGCAGCAAAGCCGTTTTGACAGTCATGGCACTTCTGATAATGCTTTTAAAATCACACTAACAGTCATGGACCAAGCAGCACCAGAGTTGAAATCAGATCACTTCATTTTAAATATTCAACACATTAAGGCTTTCCTCAGATGTTCAGCATCAACAGTAAGCTGTCAGCACAGCAGCTCAGTGGATTGACAGATTATAAAACATCATTACAACTGAGGACACCAAACTGTCAGTTAAACAACAGACCTTCAGAAATGGCGTTGATGTTCTCCAGCGCAGTCTGGGCCGACTTGAAGGGGAAGAAGGCAACCAGAGTCACTATGCTGTTGAACTTCCCGATGCTCAGCAGGCTCTCCTCCACCTGAAACACACGAATACACACTATTAGTCTGCCCCATTTGGAAAACAAATTAAACCCGCACAGATGGAGCGAGGACATGAGACCTACCTGAGGAAGCAGCATGCCGATCTCCTCCACCTCTTTGACGGCGAACAGCGCGTAGCCCGCCGCATGTTCGAACAACACGTGCAGCAGCACCTAGAAGAAAAATTGACCGGATAAGTGTCCGAGCCAGACAACTACGGACTCAAGGTAACTTCTGTGACCAGAACAACCAACAAACACAAACGGCATGCCCTGTTAGTCAACAGTTCACGTAAATTGCAAAATGAAGTCTCCACGTTGCGAACGTCGCCAAACGCCATCGTTCCCGTTTTTTGTAGGATCCTCGCTTATGTAACTTGGATCAGGCGTGCAAAACTGCTTCTCAACCCAATAATTACGCTTCACTTCTATTTAAAGACCCAGTGTTACCAAAACTTTACATGCAGCCATGTAGTTATGATGACTCCACGTGCTGACCTGGGCCCAAGCGGAAAGTGTCTGAAGCTAAACTTATGCTAGCAGCCCAGCTAATGTTATTCCACGAACCGCTAACTATATGCAGCAATGAGGAGTAGAAATTATCGGGTTTCACCTGCATGGTTGTAACGAACGAAAATGATTATTTAACTTAAGCGCGAACAATCCAGCTAACGTTAGCCCCATGGGTGGCTAACTGTTCAAAGGCCTAACTTACAAGTATGCAAAGGCGGTAACGTCAAACACATGAAAATAACTTCTATTCTTAAAGACCAGATCATTTCAAAGACCGTCCAACTGTATCATACAGCGACAAGTACGGTATTCACACCTACCACCACATTTCTTACCATGATCAGAAAATCTCTGCAGCAGCACGCAGAGCACGTCTGCTCTGTGCTTCTCCTCAGCAAAAAGATAGCGAGCTAAGCACACGCTTCAGAAAACTTCCACGACCCAAATACCGCGATACCAGCCTGACACCGCGACACCCGACGAGAAGAAGTATCCATCTGCCGGATACGAAGCAGAAAGTGAGTTTCTAATATTATTTAAGCAAAATGAAATATTGAGGAATGAGGATTGTGTTGTTTATAATTTTTCTTATTGGTCCCAAGAAAAGACCAAAACCAACAACCCATATCTAAATAGGTTATTTTCTTTTTTCTCCACACTGTCTATGGCAATGAAGCTCATATGTTTGAATGTGTGTCATCTGTGTGTCGGCGTTATTGTGTTATTTTTGCGCAGAATCTGTTTATTTTATTTTAGTCATTTATCATGATTTTATTCAGTCTATGTAAAGTTCTTTGGTGAAAGGGATGTTGTTTTTAAAGCGCTATATAAACACATTTTATTTGATTTGATATGTTTCTACTGAAGTAAATGTTCTGCATGCCTACACGTGTCGTCATCTACCTATTCTGACTGTTTAAAGCCATCAGGTTGATAATGGTGCTGTCCCCCTCTCTCCCCCATAGCAGGTGCAACCAGAGAGTTAGGGAAATTTACTGTAGCCTTATGTAAATTCACAGACTTTGCTGAGAAAATGTGCAATCAGCCAACATAACTACATGATATATGAAAACATCTAGGCTATGCGGATGACTGGTGTGTTGGAAAATGGTTTCATCATTTAAAAAAAAGGTTGTGTAATTTATTTAACAATGCAACACTGCAGTGTGTATCTCTGATTATATAATACCATTTTACATCCACTGTATGTAGCAAATAGAGCTTAAATGAAATTAATTGATAGCTAGACAAAAAACAAGTGGCTATTTTTTTTATTACTGATTAGTCATAGTAATTTTTCAAGCAAAAAATTCCCAGCTTTTCTTTGATTCAGTGTGTCTGTAGTAATAGTAACCTGATCATATTTAGGTTTGGGTGTGTTGGTTTGACCAAATGAGCAATCTTGTTAAATTTAAGCAAACTGAGGTGGACTTTTTTTTTTTTTTTTTTTTTTTTACAATTTTTCTACATTTATAGAATAGTCTTTAGTATCAATTATTTTACCCAAAATATATCAATACGGACTCATTAAAAAAGTGTTTTCTCAATTTTATCCAACAGAAAAGCTGGAATGACAAATTCAGGCTAAAGGTTCTCATGAGAGTTGTAATTTGATGTTAAAAGTACATGAATTCTTCCACAGATGACTGCAAGGAAATGTGTCTACATTCTTGCTGTTGCGGTGTAGTCATAATGGGAGTCTTCTTCACCATGCAATTGATTTCCTGGTTATGAACAAGACCCATTTCCTCCATTTTCTTTCTAGAATGTAGCCAGCTCTTGATTTTCCCAAAAGAACATTGGTAGTGTGAGGGTAGAAAGGACACAGAGCCCAGGTTGGAGGATGGTCATTCTGAAGAGTTTACCATCCAACAGTGTAAACTCAGTTGGAACGTGAAGGAAATCCTGTGAGCAACACTGTCTCCCCCCAGTATATACTGTAATTGTGTCATTAAAGACAAGCTCTTGACACTTAACTTTGTGTGTCCAGGATAAAACAGTGGAAATTGGTGTCCATCTTTCGCCCAAACAGCTGGATTATGCTTTTATTTATTTTCCAAACACCGAATAACCAAATGTTTGTGTTTTAGTTAACTGGTCAATAAAGACAAGTGACTGTGTTGCTATTGCTATTCAAAGCTTTTTTTGTTATTTCCATTTCTTATGAAGACTGTCAGCATGGGCTGGCTACAGACTGTAAAGTCAGCATATCTCAGGAAATTCTTTTCAAAGACACCATAACCACCTTTTCCATGTATTAACTCAGACAGCATGACTGCTGGTATAAAAATTACTTTTCAATATAAAGTGGATGACCTGTCACTCACACCAATGCAAGGAAGAGTAATAACATTTTATGGAATATATTGAGTGGCAACTGATTGGAAATAATGTATTTCATGTATTGTTATATAAATTATACAAGTACTCAAGACAGGAATCATTTTTATTTCCTTTAGAAAACAAGTCAGGTCATTTTCCTAGTAATAACTGAACCTATAAAAATGTACTCAGACCTTCACCTGATGATTTTAAAGACAGCTCTTCATATTATGTCAGAATTCCTTCACTTATGAAGTGTAGTAAAGTGAAGCCTTTTCTATTTGCATGCCTCCATTTCCCTGGTATTTGTTTCAGACCTTGATTTGATTTTGATTTGATTTGATTTATTTATTCTTTCAAACATGTAACAACAGTCAGTATGTAATCACACATAATTCCAGACATGTCCACAAAAATATTTTCAATTTACTTATACCTAGTACATGCTTGAACGGAGTAGGAAGAAGTTAGACTTATCTAGTCCTACCCCTTAACATCATCTTATCATCGTTGGTTTGCAAGCAGTATTACTACATGAATACATATTCTACTTCCCGTCTGATTAATCATTAAGCCTGTTCTTGCATATATCTTGATTGACACATACCTTTATATTTATGTTTAAACTCATCAATATTCTTACTGCTTTTTATGTCCACACTTAAATTATTCCATAGTTTTACTCCACTTATTGAAAGACAATCTTTTTTTGGTAGTATGTATGGCATGAATTTTTAAATTTAACTGACCCCTTAAATTGTATCCCCCTTCCCTTTCATTAAATAGCCTTTGAATACCACCAGGTAATAAATCTTTCCTGGCTTTATACATAAACACAGCAGTCTTATATCCCACCAAGTCAAAAAATTTTAACAATTTAGACTGTATGAAAGCTCCATTAGTGTGATCCCTGTATCCCAGCTTATGCACAATTCTTATCGCTCTTTTTTGTAATATGTACAATGGTTGAAGTGAGCTTTTGTATGTATTTCCCCA